TAGCACTCGCCTGTGCGCGCACGCCACGGGCGGCGAAGCATCAAGAATTACGAGCCGGCACGCACGGCCGGGTGGGGATCGGCATCGATCAATCACGAGCGAGGACGTCGATCGATGTAGAGCAACCAGGCTACGGTTCAAGTTCGGCCTTCTGGTTTTCCTGCTCTTACGATGCTTGGTCATTTGTCTTCCGGAGCGTCGCATGATCTACGTGCTGGTTCTGCATTGATATGTAAATGGAGATCGATAGACTCTGCTACATGTGTCGGATTCTGCCAGAATTTTTTTATTTAACGGATTTGCCTGGTGTATTGATTAATAAGAGAGGAGTAGAGAGTTTATTACAACAACCACACATCTTTATCAGTGTCTAGGGATTTTCTTGGCCATAATTTTCTTATGACTGCATTGCATGCCAAATTTCAGTGCCATAGTGTGCCTAGGAATTTTCTTGCATTGTTAAGCATATTATTAATTTTCTCAGAAGAATAATTTGCCTGCCTGGGTTATAGAGCAGTCGAATTACGATGAATAGATGGATGGGCAACTCGGTCAATCAACAGACAATCTTAGTTCAGTCAATTTGTTCGTCGCAACGAGGAAAAGTTTATTCTATGCAGAATAGTTCATCAGTAAAGGGCGGGAGTAGGGACTACATACATTGCACGCCATACTGTAGGAGTGATGCACTATTCATTCGGTTGGAAGGGAGTAGAGCTTCGATGTAAGGCACCACATACTCACGCAAAGGGCGTGCAATTCCTTCTAGTCGGAAGGCAGTGGGGACTCCCTTGATTTTCCAGCAAGCTACCTGTTTCTACCAAATAAATTAGGCGTGTGCGTCTCTTTTCTGCTCTTCACTCAACACATCTAGGAGAAAAGAGTGTTTTCCCGTATTTCCTATCGCAGTCATACACACCGGAGGAGGGCAACCGGATTGCGAGGAACGGAAGCATCACATGGATACTGCAACATAAGTGTAAAAGGGACTAGAACTTGCTTTGGTTTGCTCCAACATTTCAAACACAACGCTAAGGTTTTTCTTCGGTAGACTCATCTGTTCTTCCATGGCACGAATCAGAGTAAACTTCGCAGTGACTTGCGGGATTATATATAGGGTTCAACGTGCAAGCGTTCAAGAAAAATAAGTTGATGCCATTCATATACAATGTGTGCCAGCTCCTTGGCGCCTCGTCGACTTATTTTCAGGTCATCCTACTGTCATGACTAAATATGTGCTTCGGCGATCCGGCGGTGCACCCATGCCAGAAGGGTGAGGCATGCATCAGTGGATCATGCAACTGCAGCAACAAATATCCGAGATTTCCTTTATAGTTTACCCGTTTTGCCCTTCACAATAGTGGCAGATCGGTACGTCCTCGTCGTGGCGTTATCCAAATCTGACCAAGTTGTCGGCCTTGTACTGATCCGCAACGACAACAAAACGGGAGCCCCATCCCGCTCGCACCCGGGGAAGGCTGCACCCTCATCACGTACGGCCCCGCCACCGGCAAAAACGGAGACACACCAGCGCGGCAGCGACACACCATCAGTCGGCATTTGCTTTCTTGCCTCCCCACTTCCTGAGCACCGCAACGCCAGCAGAGGTCGGGGCTCGCGCGGCTGCACAGTCCACAGCGCACGGCGGCGGAGTGGAGTCGAGCTAGCTGGTGGCGATGGGGATCCACCTGCTGGCGTTCGCGGGGGCGAGGATGTTCGTGCAGGTGTTCCAGGTCTCGGCGCCGCTGCTGTGGCCGCTCAACCTCTGGCTGCCGCTCGCGCGCCGCCTGCCCGAGGCCTGCGCTGTCGCCCGCGCCGCGCTCGCCGCCCACGTCTCCTGGCTGCGCCGGGCGTGCCGTCCCGGCGCCCCCGTTTGGAGCCGCCGGGACGACGGTGTCTACCGCCGGGCGGTGCTCGACGTCGCCTACTACTGAGAGTGAGACGCTGGAACCGTCCGAGACTTGGAGGCAGTAGCAGGGATGCCAATGATTAATTTTTCTCAAGTAAATTAGAATAGTGATTAATTTCAGTTTATTCCCTTTTTAGTATATTTTGGTTTTCTTCTCTTGGGCTAGCTAAATTAGCTGCATGCTGCATGCTTGTGTCTTCCGAGCAATGCCTGGTCTGAGTGTGGGTTGTAAACTTGTAATTAACCAGGATTCGCAAGTACTCCCTCCGTAAACTAATATAAGAGTGTTTAGATTACTAAAGTAATGATCTAAACGCTCTTATATTAGTTTACGCAGAAAGTACTCCCTCTGTTCCTAAATATTTGTCTTTTTAGAGATTTTAAATAGACTACCACATATGGATGTATATCGATATATTTTAAAGTGTAGATTCATTTATTTTGTTTCGTATATAATCATTTGTTGAAATCTTTAGAAAGACAAATATTTATGAACGAAGGGAGTAGTATAAGTGACTTGTTCATCAATGCTTCTCATGCGGAATTTTGGTGACCATGAATACAGTGGAATGCTAGTTGCCAACGGCGATTTCCAGACCAGTCCACTGAAAGCGCTAGACTACGATATGCTTCCCGTGCATTTTTATCCACACAATTGAGATATAATGAAGACCGACATTATAAGTGGGAACACTTTTTTTTTCCAGACCAGTAAAATGCCGGAAGGTATTAGTGAATTACCACCACCACTATTGTGTTGATTCACAATTAGAACACCAAGCGAGAATTATTGTAGTAGAATAGTGGCTAGGAGGATTAGAAAGGGCATTATGGAATTACGATTTTCCCCATGATTAGCCAAGTCAAGGGATTTTTAAAAGAACGGCAAAGTTGGTACTCCCTCCGTCCTAAAATTAGTCTCATTGATTTAGAAGAATTTTGTATTTATTTTGTTTTAAATCAGCGACACTTGTTTTGGAACGAAGGGAGTATTTCGCTTGTTGTGATGAGCTTGCGTAGTCTGATTTCCCTCAAAGTTGAAGGTCTTGATGCAATATAGACGAGCTTGCGTAGTCTGATTTCCCTCACACACACAAAAAGGAAAGCATGACGAGTTACGGGAATTCAGCCCAATTGCTTTCCTATGGTTCTGTAGTATTGTGGCGACTGGCGAAGTGCTTAGTGAAGTAATTAAGGCCGATTTCATTCGCGGAAAAATATTAAGGCCAATTTCTTGTTTGCAAAAACAAAAAATCCAAGTACATTTGCTCCTCATTGTCTCATTACTGATAGTGCGTTGATCGAATGCTTTCATTCTGGACACACTACACAAGGAAAATTTGCCCATATAAGTTACATTTATCCAAGACTTTTGATCGTCTGGATCGAGCATTTTCGGAGAAAACAATTTTAATGTTGGGTTTCGCTTAGCGGTGGGTTGGCTAGATTATGGCCTATGTAATCTTGGGGATATGTGATCAAATTAATGGATTCATGCTCAAGTTACCATGTCAACCCATAGTCAAAGACAAGGTGGTCGGTACTCTCGTTTTTATTTTCTGTTTTATGGTTGGCGGGCTTTCACCCAAGGTAGTATCGGCTGATCATATTTTTCCCGTGCGAAAATGTCATTGAGATTCTGGTAAATCTCATCTCCTGTTCGCGATGGATGTTCTTGCGTTAAGGCGCAATGGCTGTATGGATAAAAAGAACAAAAAGTGCAGTATTCCAATGGTCAAGTGTGCGGAGCATAGGGCAAGAAGGATAAGACGAAAGAGAGACACCGAGGCAGATATAAAGGAGAAGATGCATTCATATCTGGGAATGTACAAGAAGTCACACGCGCCGAAAGTGATTGATCGGAGATATGTCCAGGCTACTATTTGCGCATTTCTTGGAAGGCTGCTCATCGATGCATCTCCATTTACAAGAGTTTTCATGATGTTGGGTATGTCGTCTTTGTTCAGAACAAGGCACATACGATGGCTTAGACGGAGTGCCTTGATACCTATCTTTGTGGTTTTTGCTAGTTCTTTCTCAATTAACCAACCTTATAAGGTTTTGGATTTACTCTAAAATAATTGTAGTCTAAGCAATGGTCATGATAGTTGTTAGTAAAATCCTCCCTTCTTGCCACATAATAAACTTATGCGACTGGGGCGTATGCACCAAACCTGAAGACCCACATCCACATGCGGACACCTGAAAAATCAAATCTTAGAACAGCAACCATCGTTCCCCTTTGCCAAATCCTAATTTCTGTATGTCCGCCGGTGCAACTCCCTAGCTCGGTGTGCTCCATCCCCGCCAACAACAACCATGTTCGGTGGCAGTCCAGCTTGCGTCCCCGCTCTATCTAGTTGCCACATCTGCCCTCCCTCCCTGTCGGAAACGCCCACGTTCATCGACGACTGAGCTCGCGGCACCGCCCCGCATGCTTGTCCCTGTCAGCGAGTAGACATGGAGGTTGTGGGCAGAGGAGGTTCCGGTTGAGAGGTCGACATGTATGTTGTTTGGTGCCTTTCGCTGCTGTCGGGCCATGCCATATTTTGTACCGTCGCCGGCGAGTTGGGAAGAGATGACTATGGTTTTTCTGGGCCTGTGAATTAGGGTGAGCTGAAAGTTGGTAACGATGACCTCTTTTATACTAGCCTAAATATGTTGTTTCCCCCCAAAAAAATATGTTGCTGTTGGAAACAGTATGGAACTTTCTTTTTTGCTTGAAGGAAATAGAATGTTGCCGACTTCTCTAGTCGACTGGCCGACTCATCTCCAACTTGGCCCGGCCGACCCACCAGCTGTAGCAGGGGCCGTCACATCCTTCCCCGACCGGTCCAACCCTTTGGGATAACGGCAAGTCGAGACGTCATGTTGCTCGTCACCATGCCTATCCAGCTTCCCCGTCTCAGCGCGCGCAACTAGAATAAGAAGGTCGTTCCCGGGGACGGCCGCAACCTCCCCGGCAAAAGCATAACCACACCAGCGCAGCAGCCACACAACGCCATTCACCAGCCATCACATTCTTTTGCTTGCCGACGCCGCGGCACCGCGCAAGCGCAGGGAGTTGGTCAGCGTCCCAGGGCTCTCGGCGATGGGGATCCACCTCCTGGCCTTCGCCTTCGTGCAGGTGTTCCAGGCCTCGGCGCCGCTGCTGTGGCCGCTCAACCTCTGGCTGCCCCGCCACCTCCCCCAGCTCTGCGCCGTCGTCTCCGCCGAGGTCGCCGCCCACGTCGCCTGGCTGCGCCGCGCCCACGCGAGGCGCTGCGACGACGACGACGAGGCCCGCCGCCAGGGGCTGCTCTACACCGTGTACTGACATATTCAGAACATACAGTTTCTTCAGTTTCGATTTTAGTCGATTTCTTCGAGCGCTAGCTGCGGAATCATGTGTGTATGTTGGTTGTAGCATCGATCTGTAAATACACTACACCAGTAGTAATTTCTGTTAGGACCGGCTGATTCTTAAGGGATTGTTCGCTCTGTTTTGCTGCAGCATCTCAAATACAAGTGTACAGTTCTTCTTCAGGAAATTCATTTGTTTTTCCAGGCCAAAGACAAGAACTGGCCAGAAGCAAACGTCCTTGTGAGATTATGGAAGGTGCATTCACGTATACAATGTACAGTACTTGTCATCTACTTGTCGGTTAAGCAAGTGCCGTGATTAACTAGAATTCAGTCAATTCGTAAAAAAGAACAAGTGTTCAGTCGCGATCATACTAAGTATATGTGCGTTGCTGAGTCAGCCACACCACCATCCTTAACTGGAAGCATGACAGACATTAATTTAGTCGACAGATCTTATGCATACTGCATAATCTGCAATTTTTATACCACCGTAACAAATATCTGAAACTACAACCGGGGTCCTCGAAATATTATTGCAAAATGTGCTAAGAAACGGATTCTATAGGTAAAGTACAGTGTGTCTGACACGGTGAAGGCTAAATGTTGACTGTCCATGGGTCTCCTCCACTATTCAACCCGATTCATCCGTTGAATGAAACAAGATGGTCCTCCTTTTTCTATTCGGAATGATGGGGTGACTTCTTAGCATTCTTAAGAATTAAGTCTTACAATACTTCACCTTCTTCTCAAACTATCAAACAGGCGGTTGGATGCTGTGAAAACCCTGAGGATGTAAGTGGCAAATAAATGGCGTCCGCAATTCCGTTTAGTTAGTTTTTGATAGCTTGATAGTTCATTTTCCTCAAACAAACAAAAAACCTTTTTGAACTATCATATCATAAGTGGACTTTAAACGAGATTAAATTGACATCCCTAGGCCGGAAAATCCTGTTGTCCTATGAAACGACATAACATGCAAGGTGGAGTCCAGCAGCATGGAGCCGCATCATACTCTACTTCTCGCCAGTACGCAAATGCCAGTGGCTTGTCAATTGCAACAGATGTGCCAAGCTATGTAGAGTTTTCTTTGCTTTGGTTTGCTCCAACATCTCAAATTTAATAGTAGAGTTTTTCTCTCTAGAGTTCAATTCACTTCCTATGCCAAGAACCAAAACAACTTTCTTCTTAGATTATATAGATGGAGCAAGTGTAAGACAGAAGAAATTGTTCAATTCATGTGTACAGTGTGTTAGCTCCTTCACTCGCGCGTACTTGTTAGTTCATCCATCTGTCATGAGTTTCTACTGTGCAGTCTCGATCATACTAAATATATATGTGCATTGGTTAATCAGCTACACACACATGCTTGAAGCATGCCAACAGAATACCTCGCGGATAGGAAGATCGATGCATGAAAATCTGGCGGAATCCCATTCTCTCCAATACTAGGTACCGCTACATTTCCAAGTAGCGTGGAGTTCACCTCATTCATGTAGCATGGAGGGAGGGAGCAAGCATATAAAAATAAGTTAACTTCCATTTCATGTATGCAATGTGCCTGCTCATTCAATTACGCTCATCTTATTGTCGGTTCATCCCACTGTGGCGATTAACTAGTATTCAGTCAATTTGAAAGAAAGAAAACTAGTGTTCAGTCGAGATCATACAAAGTATGTGCGTAGCTGAGTCAGCTACACGGCCATGCTAGAAATTGAAGCATGACATGCATTAATATGTTCCATTATGGTTCTAGACTTCTGCGAGGGTATGCTAGAAAAGTTTGGCTTTGAAAGAAAAATTCAGAGCGCCTTATAAGAAAAGAAAGGCGAGGGTATGTTCATTTTCTGTCATTTCTATTTTTTTCATGACTATCTTGTCAAGTGGATTTGTTTTGAGCCTTAAGTCAAGTCAGAAGTTCCAAAGGACCCACTATTTTTGTCTTGTCTCTTGTGTTTGTGTTTCAAAGTGCGCACGTCTCTTTGACAATGGAACTGGAATCTTTCCTAGATCCCACTTTCACGGTACCATGAAATACATCATTGAATTCTTCTAGTATCAAATATCTAGGTTCAATCGCGATTTTAGCGTGTAATAAATTGACCAGCTGTCCGTGTCAGCTCGCGAGGACGATTAGTCATCCATTGGCGCTCGGCCGCCGGCAAAAAGGAAGAGAGGACGTTTGGATCAAGCTGTTAATGGGCGGCCCAATAGTAAATAGACTGACCCAAATATGATGCCAGTAAAAAAACAAGCCCAAGATAACTAACATCACAGGCCAGAAAAAAATGCGTTACGAATCATAGAGCTTAAGTCAATGGCTAGAAAATCGACTAGCCCAAATTTAAAATTCAGACAACTTACAAGTAGCTAAAGTGAGAAAGAAACTAGAGTTCAGTCGAGATGATATGAAGTACTCCCTACGTGCCAAAATAAGTGTCTCATTCACTTATTTTTGGATGGTGAGAGTATGCGTGTACCTGAGTCGGCCACACCATCATGCTTGAACTTGAAGCATGACAGGCATTCATATTTTCATGATGGGTTCTAGTAATACTCATTTGGTATTGTAGATTTTGATACATTTTAATATAAATTTTGTGAGGCACAAAAGAAAAGTTTGGCTTTGAAAGAAAAATTCAGCGAGCCTTATAAGAAAAGAAACGGCGAGGGTATATTCTGATAAATTTCTGCCATGTTCATTCTTCATGATGGTTTTGTCGACTGGATTTGTTTTGAGTCTTGAGTGGAGTGAGAGGTCCTACTAGGACCCACTATTTTTGTCTTGTCTCTTGTGTTTATGTCTCGAGTGCGCATCTCTCTTTAACAATAAAACTGGAATCTTTCCTAGATCCCGGTTCATCATACCGTGAAGTACATCATTGGATCCTTGTAGCAAACAAATCAAAAATATCTAGGTTCGATTGTGAATTCGTGTTTTTAGAGCATAACAAATTGACCGGCTGTCCGAGTCAGCTCGCGAGGACGATTAGTCATCCGTTGTGTTAGGAATTAATTAATTAGGTTAATTAACTATTAATCACTGCTATGTCGGTGCCACTTTTGGCAACTGCCTCCTTTTGTAACCGCCTTGTAAACTGGGTATAAATACCCCAATCTTCAATCAATAGAATAACTGTTCATTCATATATCTGTTTTCCATTCGCTCCTCTCTCTCGATTCTCTCTAACACGTTATCAGCACTTTTGCTCTCCGCTGAGGAATGGCCACAGGAGAAGAGAAGAATGCCGCCGATTCGATTAGCCATATTCCCGTCCACAACAGTAATCAATGGACATGCTTCTGTAAAAGAGGAAAACTGGATCAGGACATTCTTCAATTTGTTTTTGTCTTCTTGCAATCAATCAAAAATCTAATAACAAATTCTGTTTTGCAAATCGCTTCATCCGGCGTATGCTCGTGGTGAGATGGATTGATCGCTACTCAAACGAAAATAGGAAGAAATTCTCAATCAAGAAGAATAGAAGAATCTGCATCAAGAACAAGAGAAAAGAAGGGAAGAAGCCCCAGCGAGCGTACCTCGGCGTTTGGCGACGACGGCGTCCTCCACCTCTCGGATGCAGCATTCGACGCGGCGCTCCTCCCTCAGGCGGAGCACGACCACGGCGCGGCATACCCTCCAGTACAGGCGGCGTGTCCTCGGGGTAACCAATGACCGGCGCCTAGAACGGCGATCTCCACCGCGGCGGCACCGGTAGCACGACCAGCCCACGACACTACAGCAACGTCGACGCAGCGGCCGAGGACGCAGCGACGCCAGGCAGCGCCCTCTGGCGCGCGGCGTTGGACGAGCAAGCCCTCTGGCGCCACCCGCCCACCCCCGGTCTCTCCTTCTCCCGATTACACTGGTACGCAGCGGCGGTGCCGGTGCTATATGTGCATACCGAACAAATCGATTGATTCCAGATGCATTGAGGATGACGATAGGAAACCTTATCTCTTCGGCCATTTGAGACTAAGCCCTTCTAGTTTCTTTTATTGGCAAACAAGTCATCAGACTTAATACTACATGAACATAAGTCATCAGGCTTACTGTTTTAGATTTTGGTTAATACCGTAGTATATCATATCGGTTGAGTCCCAAGGCATTGAGCTATGTTGATGGATGGGTCGATCATTACATCTGCAATGGACCCCAATATACTAGTGCTATTCTTTACAATAAGTGCAACAACTATGTTTTGCAATTGATTTTTTTTCTCTTGCAAATCATGATGTAAATTCAAAACAAGGATTATACTTAATATGACTACACCATATTATATTTTGGAATCACAAGGTATTGATGGCATCTACTGCGTAATTTGCAGATTATCCATCAGTACTATGAGGTCTACATCTTGTCATTTTGATAAGATGACTACCTTCGAAGTGATCTTCCAAATATTAATATTATATGTGACTACCTCAATATATCATAAGGTAATACTGGCATCTACTGCAAATTTTGCAGACTATTCACTATTATTGCAAGGTCTACATCATGTCATTTTGACAGATGGCTACCTTCAAAGTGATTTCATACATTTTGCATAACATAAGGTAATAGAATTATGAACATCTACTGACAAAAGTCAGACTATGTTTTTCTATTACTGCGAGATCTACACCGCATCCGGTGACTATCTTCAAAGTGTTATTCTATATAAATGAAGGTCTACACATATGAGTGTATAGCATCAGCTATCATAAAAAAAAATTGCTCCTCTGAAGCAATTGTTGTTGTTCACTAAAAAAAGATATTTACTCTCATAATAAAAGGTATTCATGCATGAACACTACATGCTGAAACGGCAAATATTTTCCACAAATATCATTTATTCAAGCCTCATTTTGCTTTAATATGTCATAGACAACTATGCAAATATTTGCACATACCAGTAATTACCTTCTATTACATTGGTAAAATACATGGCAGTGGAGCCTATGTCACTATTTTAATTATAGTGTCGT